CCCCCCTGCTGAGAAGCCCCTTTTAGAAGCCGCACAGATGCTAGCTGCCAGATGCACAGTGAATTTGTCTTTAGTGTATTCACAGACCAGGGGAGGTTTCCCGCCTCTCAGGCAGGACAATCAGCACATATGCCCTTTACTGTGACTCAGTGAAGAGTTTCCCTCAAACATGAGCTTGTGCTCTTATCCTTTCTCTGTTTGTGGGGCGGGGGCAGGGCAGGGGGGTAAGAGAGCAGCTCCATCCTGTCCGCCGGTTGTCAGGTTCGGCTGCTGCTCCTACATTCCCGAGCCTCTGGTGGGCAAGGTTTCGGCAGTCTGTGACCAGTGAGCAGTGACCAGTGAGCAGTGCACCGAGCCAAACACAGTATGGTGATACTGTCCCAAGCCAGAGTAGCAACTATAGTCACCTGAGTGCCTCTCCATGTGCTTCTGGCAGCCAGTGTTTATCAAATGAAAAACAGCAGGACCCCAGAGGCACAGAACTGCCTGCATCCTTGCTTTGGGCTGGTTTCGTGATTGGTCTCGGGGCACACTGTTGTCATGGAGATCATGTTCTGCTCAGAGTTTAGGAAGGGCTGTGGAAAGGAGGGATCGAGGGATGTTGAGGATCCATGGACCAAACTCTTGGCCTTTTGCTTGCAATACGTTCTGCTGTTTATATATTACCTGGCTGCTGATTGGCCCATGTCTGGATTGGCCCCTTTATATTCCTTGGGGCAAAAATGCAGCCCTAATTTACCCTGCGTAATGCAGAGAGACTTTGGTTTATTCTAAATGTGGAGGCCGGGAGGATGGTTGTCTCTGGGACCATGAGAAAATAATGGCCTTATGCAAACTGGCCCAGCCGCAGCCCCTGCGCTGAATGGGCCATCTGGGCCAGACCCCCACCCGTCTCCCATTCACTGGCCCGGGGCACGGTTTGATACTAACCTGACGCGAAAGGCTGTCTCCGCATTCCCAACAATGCAGGTCTGCAGAGCTGGCCTGACCCCCTACTGGCCTAGCGCTTTGCCCAGAGAGATGAGGTTGATTGAGCTGCCATTAGTCAGTATTTGGATGATATTTCAGAAGCTCTCATTTTGTTTGGGTTTCTCCTTTGGTTCATCTGCTTCTTCATACCCATCCCCCTTCAAGCTGTCCAATAGAAGATGAACTGGGTGCCGTTTTCCTAGTTTTTAGCTGGTTTGGGGTGGTTGTGCTTGGGGGAGATTTTTTGCTTCTCACAAAAATAAGGGATAGTAAAGTTTTGTACAATATTTCCATTAGTTCTACACTCGATGTGATTGTATTTGTGGTATAGATTTCAACTGAGGAAAGGTTGTAAATGGTCTTTGCCTTTCATGTTGGCCTCACATAGCATCAAAAGTACTATGTGGCAGGAAAATCTCAGTACACACAACCTTCACAATGTGAATATAAGCAAATATATTTATACAGTGTTTCTGAGTGTTTCTGTTTAGCGTGTAGAGTCTTTTTCTGTCATTTCTTCAGTTCTTTCAGATGAATGAGTGCTTCGGGTGTAGCTGTAGGCCTGTTCTCCTGTCCTGTTCTCAGAGGTCCTTTGTCGCCTGTTCTTTCCTGCTTCTCTTCCTGTTCACTCCAGAAAATTATCACCTCGTTCATGTCAAAGAGCCAGAAGGACAGTAGGTCCAACCCACAAAAACTGTTACTCCTCATGGAAGCTGAAAGACTGATCTCTATGCATTAAACACGTGAGAAGTGTGTACTGTATCTGTGTGGGTTCATTCTTTTCTTTGTTTGTGTATTTGTGTGTGAGGTTCATTTTCTTTTTGGAGCAGTGAAATTTTCATCAAATCCGTCTTTTTCTGCATCTTCCTACAGTTTCTCGGTCAGGGTTGCTGCGAGACCTGGAGCCCGTCCCAGGCAGCATGAGGCACAAGATGGGGGTACACCTTGGATGGGATGCCACTCCATCACAGGGCACTAGGTGGGGGCACACTCTGGACGGGATGCCAGGCCATCACAGGGCACAATGGTGGCATTTTTCCAAATTTTGAAAAACGCAGTTTGGTAACATTCAGTAGGTTATAATGAACATGAAACCAAAATTGTTTGCATATGCTGTATGAAGAAGTCCTTTTACAAATATAAAACAATCTAAAACAAAAGTACAGGTGAAATTACATATTAATGAACAGCCCTTCTTTGGTATGACTTAAACACTCCTTCATCCATTGAATTTGTAAGGCCATGTACGGTTTCTGTCTGTATTTCATTTGAGGATCCTGCATGGAGAGGTTCTTGAGACTCCAGAGACCCCTGCAGCTTCAAATACCTGTTTGTTGCTTAATGTTTTTTTATAGCTGCCATTTCTGAAGCATTCATTTGTCTGGCTGATACTTTCCTCAGCTTGCCTTTATGTGGCCAAATTTGTTTGTGCTCTGAATCACCCACAAACCTTTTAACATTTTGCTGATCTCTCATCAGTTTGGAATATCAATTGTTGCCATACGTTTTGCAAGGCATTGCATTATTTTACACTTTTCAGCTTCATAAAGGACTGTCTTCTTCCCCATACTACATGAGAACTGTGGCTTGCTTAATAATGTGGAACATTCTTTAGATTCCCTTTAATGAAGATCACCTGATCTAATTCACTACTTCACAAAAGTCTCTAAGCGTGACACCAGTTATTTAAAATGACATGAAGAATAAAACAGGCAAAAACTCTAATTTACAAACTAAAAATTAAATGTTTATTTTTATAATATTTTAGGAAACTGCAGGCATACATATCATGGGCGACGGGTAACTGCTAAATGGTCACATTAAACCATGCTCAGTATGTATAAACATGGAGGAACATGGTCTTCCAGGCTATTTGGTCATTGCTGGTTCACAGAAAGGCATTGGCTGTTGAAACCTTGGGGGTGTAGTTCTCTCAACCACAATTGTTTCAACAAACTAAGCTCGGAGTTTTGGAAAAACTGGAAGGTGTTTTATCATATGGAAGTGGATAGTGTCCTCTAATCATCAGTGTTGAGCATTTCAAATCCGGTGCATGCTTCCCAACCTGACCTGACCTTCACCCTCCTTAAAAATGGACTTTGGTTACAAATCCAGACCAAGATTTTGTTTCTACCAACCAGTTGAGCATAAAGAGTCACAGTCACTGACCACTCAACTGGTTGGTAGAAACAAAATCTTGATCTGGATTTGTAGCTCCTGGACCCGAAATGCTCAACACTGATAATTATTGTTTTCTGGTGGCATATAAATTAGGTTCTCTGGAGACCCCAGTAGCAAATATATTGACCTGAGTGTACAGTTTTCCATTATGCCAGTTAGGAGGCTCCAGGAGCTACAGCAACACAGGCAAACACAAGCTCATGTGTTCCACCACATGAGCAGAAACAGACTGTACTAGATTCAGCAAGAAATCCAAGAGTGGTATAGCATCGATTGGAGATCTCTAAAAAAATTGGAACTTTGGACCAAAGAAGTCCCCAAGACCAGTTTTCAGTGTTCCACTCCTGAAGATTCAGGTTAGGTCCAGTAGGCTGCCACATACTAGAGAATGAGAATGATGTTCCTAGAAGGACGTGTTTCATCTGGCAAGGTACCCTAGATCGAGAGGAGTCACAGTGAGTCTGTGAAGGCACTGAGGGCAGATAAGTAGGTCTTAGAGGAATCTGTGAGCACGTGACATACAATCTATGGTGTAGTGACCCACATCCTGCTTACATCTGAATCTTTTTCTCGGAGAGTCGCAGTCAGTGCAGGCGATAGAATGGTCCTTACAGATGTCACTGCAGTTGTGACCCACTGGACCGGCCACTTTGAGCAGCTGTTTAAAGCTGATCCTCCAGCTAGGACATTAGATATCTCTGGGGCCGCAGTTCTTGTGGCTGATCTTCCCATTAGCTGTGAACCACCCAATCTCACTGAGATTGCACATGTGGTGGACCAGCTGAAGGTAGGGAAGGCCGTAGGGATCTGTAGTATCTGAAGGTGAACTTCTCCAGGCTGGTGGTAAGGCTGCCTTGTGGAACATCCTGAAACTTCGTGGGATCCCCCTCAAGCTGCTGAACATCATGGCTGGCCTGTACATCGCTACTGTTGGTGCTGAGCAGAACAGAGGCAAAACCTCTTCATTCTTCCTGGTTGATTTTAGGGTTTGTCAGGCGTGTGTTCTTGCCTCTTCTCTGTTCAATGCTTGCATGGAAAAGGGGTTGAGCAGGATCTTGGGGTCCAGTGGCTGTGGGGCATCTGTTGGTGATGAAAGATTCACTGATCTTGACTTTGCTGACGATGCTGTGATCTCTGCAGAGTCAATGGAGACTCTGATCAGGCTCTCGATAGACTGAGGGAGGAGTCTGAGTGTCTGGGCTTGTGAGTGTCCTGGAAACAAGCCAACATCCAGGCCTTTAATGACATCTTGGGCACAGCCATCAGCAGTGTGTCTGTCTGCGGAGAGAATGTCGACCGCGTTGAGAGGTTCATCTACCTCTGCAGCGACATTCATGTCTCTGGTGACTCTTCCTATGAAGTCAGTAGACATACTGGGACAACATGGGGGGAGGGGGGGGGGTGTCGCTCCAGATACCTTTGCAAGAGAACAAAATTCCAAGTCTTTAGAGTCTTGGTGCTCCCTGTTTTGCTGTATGGCTGCAAGACATGGACACTATCCAGTGACCTGAGACCAAGACTGGTTTCCTTTGCTACGGAGTCTTTGGGCAACACTAGTTTGACTCTGTATCAAATGAGCAGTTGCTCAGGGGGTCCCGAATTACCTGCATTGTGAGGGAGCATCAGTTACAGCACTGCGGCCAAGTGGAGCGATTCCCTAAGGCAGATCCTTATTGCTGGGGACCCGACTGGCTGGAGCAGGCCAAGGGGACTCCAGCGTAACACCAGCGTAACACCTGGCTGCGGCAGATAGACGGCCATTTTCGGCCCTGGGGGGTCACCAACCGTGATCCTGAAGTGTTTCGTCATGTGGTGGGCATGGAAACACACAGTACCGGTGCGTGCTCCCCAACCTGATCTGACCGTCACCTCCTTAAAAATGGACTTTGGTTGCAAAAAATAGCAAGATGTAACAAAAGAATCAGGAATCCTGGAGTTTCCTGCAACAAACCTAGTTAATGGACATGAGACAAACACACTAGCAGCGAGTATTAATGTGACAAGAAATAAATCTTTGCATGGACCCTGGGAACTTCCCTGTTGGTATGGCATTTCAGAACATAAACAGCATCATACACAGTTGACTTTGGCTTGTGACAGTAACTAGTTTCATAGTTTAATTTCACAGTTTGAACTGTTCAAGAGTGAATGTTTTGATTAGCCTCAGAGGGATAAAGTTACAAAATAAAAGAGCTGCAGTCCGACTGTGATGCGAGTCTTGCATGTTTGGGGTTTGGTTAGCATTTACATGCTCTAGTAAACAAGATCATGAAAGTAAGTAATAAGAAATTACAACCAAGCATCACTTCATATGTAGCAAATGGCTTACAATTAACCACAGGCATTCCAGACTTTGACCCTGAACACACATCAAAGTCAAAGAAGACATGAGAACATACTGCAGAGACCATACAGAAAAACCTGAATTTTAAGTCCAATGAAATGGAACAGAAACTTCATAATGACTCTTCACATGAAAAATAAAAATGGGAAGTCTTCAGTTTTAATATGACATTTTGAAGCATGCTTCCAGAATATCTTCACACAATCAACATAGTTCATGTTCCATTGATGCTTGTGTCCCATTAGCTGACAGCTGACAGATTTTACCATGGCTACATGAGGACACCCTGCCTATAGTCTTCTGCCTTTGTTCTGGGCTTGGAGTTAAGCTTTGTCATAAGGTACTTTCCCTGGAAACAGTTCATAGGCAAATAAAACTGCACTTAAAACCTGGCGTTATATGTTCACCCGTTGGTCAGATATGGGTCCAATATACAGATGGTGCCAAAGAGCTTTTGTAGGCCGTAACCCCACAGCCAAAGTAGGGATGGGCAATATGGACTTAATATTTTATCACGATATTTTCTGGTATTTATTGCGACAACAATTTAAATGACGATAAAAAATATTACAATTCAGCACCATCTTTTTGGCTATAAATCTATCACTGCATACAGTCTAGAGAACTTAAAAGGTTTTTAATGATACAGTTTGTTCTTTACTTAATATATGTATATTGTTTTTCTTTTGGTGGTATGGTTACATGGAAGGACGGGATATGCTTTATAATAAAACGAATATAAATGAAAAAACAATAATGGTCCATAAGCATTTCATGCTTTGGACCCTTAATAAAATATCAAAATACCATTAATGCACTTCAAGCGCGTATCTGGGTCAATAACGAGCGTCGTGCGCCTGCATGTTTCTAAAACAAACCGCTTAAATTCTGTTTAAAAATGTACCACTGACTTTAGACGTGGTTTTCATTGGTCAAAAGTGCCATAATATTGCGGTGCCTTAAAATAGTGACGCGCCGACGATGCACCTTGCCATGCCTCATTTAAAAAACACTACTCCTACGAGCAGAAAACAGGCGTAAAATCATTTACTCTTTTGACAACGTGCTGGTAAGAAACTAGCAAAACCACTTTGCATCGCTCTTTGCGCAGGTAGAAAATAGAGTTTATCGTTATTATTGCAGGGTGACTAATTATCATCGTAGGTAACTTTTTCCCGGTATATTGCAAATCATACGATATTGCCCATCCCTAATCCAAAAGCCACAATATCTGCAGGTTCGGTCTTGCGTCCTGTTTAATGTGCTATTATTCCTCTGGTTTACATGCTTCCCTCCCCTGCATTTAGTGAGAATCTAATTGTCCAAATCACCACTGAACAGTGGCTGCAGTCTATAGCAGTGAGGTCTCATACATTAACTCTTCAGTCAAACCTGCTGCTTTTGACCTTGACGCTGAGGATGGCGATGAATTAGGGCTGAGCAGATGCCTGTATGGATAGAGACGTGATAAGACAGTTGAAACTAGAAAAATCAGGCTAGGATCCCAAGGAATTAGGAGACTTCCAGGCTGGGCAGCTGAGGATGGTCCATTGTTCTATCCCTTCAAGAGGGGCCTGTCTCAAGTCTCAAGTCCACGGGCGTGGAGGAGGTTGAGCGTCACCTGGAATCCAGACAAACAAAAAACAACATCCTGGGACGCAGTGCTTAGAAAGGAGAGGAAGCTTGCTTGAGATTTGTGCCAGACTTCTTCAAACAGACTCTGGGGCATGTTTGTTGAACTTGGCCTGGGGTTTCTAAGGAGAAGGAAGATGTCGCTTTGTGGCCCCAGGACCCATAGTTTCCTGTAATTGTAGGAATGCTTCAGAACCTGCTGGTCTTTGATCTGAGTATGAAAACAAATAGGGAGGTAAACCCAACTGAAAAGAGGGTCTCACCAAGTGTGCATGCTCTTCTGGGGGGCAGGGTGCTTATCATGCTGTGTTCTGCATCAGCTGCAGTTATGAAAAACCTAATTAAGGTCGGTCCAGGTGACTGACAGGCGGGGTGCTTTGTTTAAAATCCATCTGAAAGTGCAGAGAGGCACTTCTTATAGCATGACAGCCACGTCCCCAGTTTCCCAGAAGGTTACACACAACCTTTGTATTGTCCTTCAATGTGATGATTATTTTTACAAACACAAGTCGTAAAAGTGGCAGAATCAAATGTAAACCGACATGTAAACCTTGCACAATATTTCCCAGAACTCACTTCCAAATGTTTCCTTTCCCCCACAGAGTTATGATTCTTATTTTTTTTCTGTACTGGGGCACTGCCTGTCTCTCTGTATTGTGATTGGGCGATCCGGGGGCCTTGTGATGCTATTGGACAGCTGGACCGTGAGGCCTGGGCAGGGCAGTTTAGATGGCTGGGACCCCCTCCATCCGCATTTTTCTGGAAAGCAGCAGAGGCTCAGCCTGGCCCCTGTATGTGATTTCCTTGTACTGCCCTGGCATCTAACCAAAGGTATAGAGGCAGCGTCATATTTAATCTGCCTGGAGCTCTGCACTGACCCCCTCCTCTGTCTATCAGCTGCTCTGCCTTACCCACAGCGGAGGGTCAGGAAGAGAGCAATAGGTTCAGATGCAGACAGGCCCTAAACCACCAGTTTCTGCTAAAGTTTCTGGTTTAAAATATTTAACTGCACCAAAACTTTTATTCTTTCAATTACAACTCAGGTGACCAATCGAATAATCTGTCTCTCTTTTTTATAAAGGGGCACTGGATTTCTGGGGATTTATTATATATGTGAGTGTCTTGGGTTAAAAATGTTTTTAGGATCCATGCTGTGTCGCCCATCCCACGCTCCACCCACTCCCCCCCCCAGCTGCGAGAACGCCAGAGCCTACATATGGGTACAGCGGGGGCCACGGCCCCGTACCTTGCGCTAAGGGGGCGGCCTGAGCCGGTTTGGGGGCCCCATGCTTTTCACAGCTGGGTAAACACATGCTTCCACAGAACCCACCGGAACAAGGGACTTGTAGGGGGATGGAGGTATGGCCGGGGAGATGAGAGGAGCAAAGAAGAGGGACTTCACACAGCCCAATGGGAGATGAGGAGCATAATTACCAAATTCACAATTTAGCAACTTTTTAGTGAACTCTGTACTGGTTAAGTGGGAGAGGTGGGTTTAGGTTAAGCACTTTACTATTAGTATTATCACAGCACTGATGCTGCAACTAAAAGCACATCTTTACTGGCTGCTCTACCTGCGAAGGTGAGCAGTGTGAGAGCAGGGCCCCCTGACAGGCATCGACATTTGCCTAACCGGTGAGTGGACTGGACAGAAGTGATGCTGGTCAATGAGAAATGCCATTAGAAGAGGTCAGTCAAGTTCAGAGTCAACCATAAGAAAGTATTCCCAAACAGGGGTCTTCACTCACAGGGGTGGTCAGCTGAAAAAAAATAACCAGTAAAAATATCATTAAAATAGCAGCTTTATAAAAGCAACCAAATATGTCTGATTTTCATTATGTAGAGCCTGAGGCTGCGCTCCGCTGGCCCTCACCTAAGCACATGAAAGGAAAAGAACTCAAACAGGATAAGGCAGCGTCTGGAAGACGGATCCTAACCGGCATTCCAGCCTCCATCCATGCACCTCCAACCACTCCTAGGCTACTGTTGCTATAGCACAACGTGAAAACAGCAGATCACAACAAAACACCCATGTTTCCCTTCATAGACCGTTTAACTTTGCACTTTCAGTGAACCAGTATACCTGTAAATGTGCAGTATGTCCATCAATATATGAAACTATATGAGAGTTTGAATTCTGTTTCAAAGCATTGCGAAACTCTAGGTGGCGCAGTTGCGAACTCCCGGCTTTGTCTTTTTAGTAAGAGCAGCATCAGCAGGAGGAGTCAACCATGACCCTACTACATAAACGCCAAGACGGCTGTGATCCGTGAGGTGTTCGTCCTGATAGAGCAGAGGAGCTGCTGAGTCTCCGGTGTACGATCAGCGTGTTCCGCTATCCCGCATCTCAGACCCGGCCGCTGCGCACCACGGTTCAGCCGTTTCATCTGCAATCGGCGCATCGGCGGGGGAGGTTTTTTGTTCCCGTATAGAGGAACAATGTCAAGTTTAAAAAAGCGAAGCTCAAACTCGTCGGCGGAGCGAGATGAAGAGGAGCAGGTGACCGAAAAAATGCTTTCCCCTGGGGAGAACGGAAGCGCGGCCCGAAACCGAGCTCAGGGGAGACCAAACGGGGACGGGAATGACGCCGGGGAGGAGACGGTCGTCCTTCAGAGAACGATAACTCTAATGAATGGCGTAGCCATAATCGTGGGTACCATCATAGGATCGGGCATCTTTGTGACCCCGACTGGGGTGGTGAAGGAAGCCGGTTCCGTTGGACTGTCGCTCATCATCTGGACCGTTTGTGGGGTTTTCTCCACGGTGGGAGCGCTGTGCTACGCCGAGCTGGGCACCACAATTACCAAGTCGGGCGGAGATTATGCCTACATCCTGGAGGTGTACGGCTCGTTGCTGGCTTTCCTCAAGCTCTGGATAGAGCTGCTCATTATCCGACCCTCGTCGCAGTACATTGTCGCCTACGTCTTCGCCACCTACCTGCTAAAGCCCATCTTCCCCATGTGCCCGGTCCCCGAAACCGGAGCCAAAGTGGTCGCATGTCTCTGCATATGTAAGTATTACCGGCGTCCACAACCGTATTTTAACTATCATCGTCTCTCCGAGCTGCGCTTGTTTCAGTGCATCTGAATTACATGTGGAGTCTTATTACACCTGCTCGGCTCATGTGTATTAAGCCTTAAGTCAATCAAAGTACAGGGCTTGGGTTTATTATCATATTGTTACCCGTATAAACAAATTCTTGGTTATAGTTTATTCCATGATGATCACAAAGGGGTCTGATGCAATTCCCATTCACTTTGGGCTCAGACTCCCCTCTTTCTACGTCATGTAATCCACGCGGTAGTTCTCGGGTTTGGTTTTTCTTGGTTATCGTATTGGCACCCTAGTATAAACGAGCTGGTGGTTATGGTTTGTTGGAAGCGATGTTAATTTCGCAGAAAATACCATTCTGTTGGATACGAACGAAGGGAACCGAGTCTTTTTATCGGCCCAAATGTCACTGCCTGCCCCACATCCACTCCACTCCCCTTTACCCGAACCATCAGTGACAGGAGGTAGTCATTGTCGAGCTGGGTTCCTTAAAGGCAGAATGAGCAGGATTTGTGCCAATTATTTTTTTCTTCTTGTATCTATTGCAAGAATCTCATTCAAGCCGAGGGAACTTTTAAATCGACAAATCAGAGGGATGTGTCGTCACCTTCTGTAATGTTTACAGTGCAGACCGTTGATAAGATGTAATTAAGGTGTGGCAATACGAGTAAGTTAGTGCTGTTAAACCTAGTCCACAAATTCGAAATGAAGTTATATTGGTGGGATGTATAAATCTGAATCTGATCCGAATCTTAACCTAATATATCCTAGTTACTATTTCACATACAAACCTAGTAACATCACGTACGCCCCCAAGAAAAAGAAAAAAGGACTATGAGGAAGGGAGCCATAAGATCCGGCCAATTTTAAAGAGCCGTAATTACAATCGCTATTTGTTACATGGCAATCAGAAAGGGGTCTGATGTAATCTCCATTCACTTTGGAGTCAGACTTCTTTCTATTTGCATAATGTAATTCGTGCCGTAGTTGCATCAACCAGGTTGTGCGCCATCTCGTAGTTTCCGTGATGAAAGCTTTGGCTTATGGTAAATTATGAGTAATCCCACGTGTCTGGGTGACATTTGCAGCGATCGATTCATTTAACACAGGTAAAATAAATAAAATTGAAGAGTGTAGTTAATTGGCCGGCTCCATATACACACAATATACACAGACGGTTAAATTTACTGAATGGTGAAATATATGGAGTATTTCTATTATTAAATGATGAGTGTAACTAACAGCATTGGTTATTTCAAATTCAGAGCTCGAGACTTTGTGTTTATGTCCGGGTTTTCTTTTACTGTCACAGTCGCGCATACGCTTTAAAACGCACTGTAAAACTACGAAATCGTTATTTTAAATCGACCGTAGTGTAATAGGCACAATAGGAGAATGAACAGAGGAAAGGGGTGATATCAATACGATTTGTGTTGAATTGGGAATATAACTTAATTTTAAATATAATACGTTATGTATTTTTCATTGTAAAAATGCCTGCGGTTGTCTGCATCGATGCCCACGTATATTAGTTGTCCGTTAAAAAGTGTTTCTTTTGTGCGTGGTAAGCCGATCATCTCAGATCCACGTGTTTGCCATTCCTCTAAAGGTTTCAGTGTAAGCAGGGCGCAGCCTGCCGCCCACAACAGTCCAATCTCTTATGACTTGACCCTACGTACTTCTGACTTTGACAAAGAAACAACATGCATGAATCCAGTGAAAATGCCTGACATAGCTTGTCTCTTATACGGTCTGCCCAGCAGTACCATGCCCAATAATCTTTGAAGAATCCAGGATTAGCGAGGGATCACCTTAATATGTGCCGACAAATTAAGCAGCCAGTCACAGAGGGGACCTGGGGCCGCCCTGGTTCAAATTGTCCCCTTTTCCCTCTGCCTGGTTATTATCAATCCCAGTCTTCACTATGCATTTGTGGTCATAAAAGCAGTCACCTGATAAATGCCACAGCAAAGCAACATGCTTCATGCTTCTTTACTCACCAAACTAAGAGGTCCAGACTTTTATTCTAAGTGCTCGATTTATAATTTTTCTACCACACTGGCCATATGCAGAAAGAGTGGCCTCTGTGTGGCTTCAGAGGAGGGTAGTGGATGTGACACAGAACCCGAATTCTACAGCCTTTATCTGCTTGTCCTGAGGGGTGACACCAAATTTGTCCATGATTGGTTGGAAAGTTGATAATCTGGGATTTTGTCTGTAGTATAGCCAGGGCTGCTCGATTATGACAAAAATCATAATCGTGATTATTTTGGTTAATATTGATTGACCTAATATCGATGATCTGAAACGTGATTATTTAACACGATTAGCCATTGACTTTGGAAATACCATGCGTTTATCAAACTATTAAAAAAGGAAGCATCATTGCGAAATGAAATGTGGTGCAATAATCATTTTATCTAGATTATTTTGTTATGATAATCGTTGAAAGTCAAAATTGTAATTTGATGAACTGCAAGGTATGGCAATGGATGAAGTCACTGCGCAGCTGCAATTTTGGCCGCACCCTCAGCAGCTCAGAGACGTAGCTCATTGTTTGCCAAACCCGATTTGGCGGTAGACTGGTCGCGTGTCTGCAAAAAAGAGGAAGCCAGAAACCCGCAGTGGGGAGCATCAGTGTTTCGCACATATATCACACTCTGGCTTCTCTATTTAAACATAAACTGCCTGACTCTCCCTTATCGGCATGCAGATGTGTGATGGCGTGGCCAGTTAGGCAAACCGGGGTGGAGCTGGAGCTCTGCGTCTGTCCTGCCTCGTCTCTGCTGCGAGGATCTGCTTAGGAGAGTCTTATCAGGAAGTCTCACGGATGCAATGAGCGCGGTGATAAGTCAAGAACCAGTCATGACACGTACGGGTAGCTGGTGAGAAACCTCCTTCATTGACATGTGATATTTAGGCTGGTTGGGCATTTCAAGGCCGCCGTGCTGTTTCGCTTGATATGAAAGCCATGTTGTTTGCTCCATATTGGTGAAAGATGCCTGCAGTAAAGTCATCTTCTGTGTGATGCGTCCTGCCTACCATGGACCCAGATATAGTGCTTAAGCTGCATGCCACTCACGACATTGACCTGTATTCACGTTACCAGCCTTTACCTCTCTTTAGCTTCTGTTTTTCTTGCTGTGTCTGTATCAAAGTAAGTCATCTAATCCCTCTGGAGACAAAAATATCAAGAATGACACAAATCAGGCTGAACTCCAAATCGCTCAGCAGCCCTCATTATAGGTTTTTATTTTATCAGTTTGGGGGGCAAGAGGGTCATGTACCCAAGGTGTATAAAGCAATTTAATGTACAAATTATTCACTTGTTGCCCAAGTGTGCTAATGGTTTAAAAATTGAAGGGTAGCTTTGACAAAGATTCAGGAGTTTAAAGTTGTCCTTGATTCAGCTCTCGCCACCTCTGCACTGACCAATCAGTAACGGTTTAGAAACTCTTTTGATTATTGAATATAGAGGCTGTGCAACGTTATTTTTCACTTTGCCAGGTAATCAGGATGCATTCTGGGTACTGTAGGCTGTTCTCGTGTCCAGGAGTAAAGATGCTTTGCTTTATGCAAGGTGCTGTGAAAATTTGGCTGCCACTCCGCGCATGCAGGAAAGCGGAGGGGTGGGACCTCATAATCGGTCGTCTAGGGACCGGGACCCCACCCCCGCAGTGCTCTCAGTCTAGGGGTCGGAGGAGGCCTCCTTGCTGTCCCCTGGCAGTCCCTCCCCAATCAGCGTCCTCCTTGTTTATGTAGCCCTTTCACTGGCAAGGCAGGGGCGCGAAAAGGCGGGCTGGGGCTGGGCGATGGCGGGGGAGAGGGGGCGGGTCACCGTAGCTGCCACACGGCCTCCTTCCCAGCTCTGCCCCCCGCTGCTCTGTCACACACAGCCCCTGTCTGGCTCTGCTCACTGTCCACCAGTATTTTCCCTCCATTTCGCCCATGTTTCCCGCCTTTGTCCAGGGTTGGGGGGGGGGGGGGATGGGGGGCTCTTTTTGGCGCCCTTTCAGGAAGGCTTAGGGCTCATTGTCCTGTGCGATTTATAGCAGAGCTTATTCGTTAATTTACTGGGGTAGGCCTGAAAAGCCCAGGGATGTGGGGGGGGGGGGTTACTGTAATTTTGTGAGTTGCGTGCTTGGGGAGGGGCCACAGGATGCCGCTGTGTGTTTGTGGTGCCACGTAGCGACCCACGCCGGGGGCACAGACATCCTGTGGGTACCACTCCGGGAACCAACCTCAGATTCAGTCGGGTCCTTATGTCTTGTAGCATGTGACATGGTTATATTTCAGGAAGCGCCTGGGGACCTGACCTTTGTTCTGACTCTGTATCAGGTGATGTTACTGAGGAAAGAAGCTGGAGAGGAATGTGCGTGCTGTCAAATCCCCGAAAGCTCGCCGCTGTTTCACCTTTGTACCATAGCTATAATTTTTCAGCCTTAAAAAAGCGATGGCTGTAAAGTTGCACTGGCTGAGCGTGTCCATAATGCAGTGTGTGTGGCTCTGTGTTGCAGTGCTCCTGACTTCTGTGAACTGCTACAGTGTGAAAGCGGCCACGCGGGTCCAGGATGCCTTCGCTGCCGCCAAGCTGCTGGCCTTGGCGCTCATCATCATCATTGGCTTCATCCAGATCGGCAAAGGTGAGCTGGGGGGTTAGTGTGTGCCCCCTCCTAGGTAATGGGCATCTTTCTCCTGGTTTATGATGATGATGGGGTTTTGGGGAACACACCGCTGTTGCTATGGTAACCGCACAAAATGACCATTCTTAATGGCTTAATGGTGGACAGAGTGACCCTAAACTGATGTTTCTATAAACCTTGTTAGACAGTTAAAAGAGAGGAGGGGGATTCTCACATCACCATCACATGATTGGGGGGGGGGGGTCGCCATGGTTCTTGAAGAGTCAGGTCAGCTTGCCAGCCTTCGGCCCCGAAGCGCCAAGGGCTACGGTCCAGCCCGCTGGGGTCCATTATTCAGCAGCCCCCCCCAGACCCAGATGGGGGGTGGAGGCTTGGCAGAACCGGCGCTCTCTGGCTGACAGGCGGGGGGGGACGGGGGGGCTGTGGAATGCCCCAGTGCCCCTCTCTCTTCTTGACTCTCCTTGGGCGGCTCTATGGCAGCGATGGTGCACATCTCTACTGGACATTCCTCAAAGTGTTTAAAGTGCTTTATGTCTCAGTATCTGGCCAAATAAATCCTATATATCCTCAATCTCCTAAGAAGCCTTCAAAGTGAATGTTAGCAAGGCGATTCCAGCCCTACCAGCGGGACATATCATGGGCACAAAACTGAAGCAGCAGGTGGCTCAGTGGGTGGCGCTGTTGCCTTACTCCTTCAGGGTTGGGGGCTGACATGCCACCTCTGGACTGCGTGTGCAGTTTGCATGTTCTGCGTGTGCAGTTTGCATGTTCTCCCTGTATCGTATGGATGTGCTCCTGCAGCCCAAAGTCATGCGACTACGCTTATCGGCATCACTGAGTTGCCCGTGGGGTGTGGGTGTGTGTTACGGGTGTGCTAGACCATGGTGGACCTCAGCGTCATGCCCTCTGCTGCCTGCGATAAACAGCTGGAACCCCCAACAAGCAGGTGATGATCCTGTCTGGTACTGCCTGTATCACCGTTATGAGGCGTGACGCCAGTGCTCTGACTGGAAGAGTCGTATTGCAGTTCCTCCTGAAACTTATTTGCATAACATTTTTAATCACAGCTGGCTTTGGCCCATGCATTCCCGCTGCTGTACGGTCAAATTCATCTCGCTTAAGACAATACATAACCCTAAACTGTGCAAAACGTACATTAATTTTCATCGCAAAGAACTGGTGCCCCTTGTTGTATAGTGATTGTAGACGGATGGTAAGTTCTCCTTTTTTATTTCTAGGGGATACCTGTGGTTTACCTCACAATCGTTCACTGAATGGCTGAAATGCTAGGCGGTGTACCTGGTTCAGGTGGTCAGAGCTGTAACATGAGCCATTAATATAAACCTGTTCTTTTATGAATGCTTCTGCATCCAATCAGTGTTGAGAGCAGGGAGAACTTACTTCTGATTGGTCAATTCCCATTTACCATAAGACAGTCATTCTTTAGACACAGAGTGAGTTAAGCCCCCGTTCTGATATGGCTTCTGAGGACTGTTCACCTTTAAAAAATGAATCACAGATATAATGGTCCCTCAATGGAACTTCAGATCTCCTTCTTGGCTAGTGGCTAACCTGCCGTCAGAGAGCAGCCTCTGACACCTTCCCCAAGGGGTGTGTGTGTGTGTGTGTGTGTGTGTGTGTTAGGTGTGGGGAAATCGGATCTCCCTCTGGTTTATTTACAAGCTCGTCCAGCCGGCCCCGCTAATGTCGTGTTCGGCTTCTCCCTCCGGTCCTGCAGCACAAAGCTCACACTCTTCACACATGAGCACCCAGCCACCTGTTTTCCGCTGTTTACCAGCTCCACCCACCACCTCCCCCCCCACTCTGTCGACCCAGTTTCACTGATCCACCTCCCAGCCTGTCCTCCACAGCCAGCGTTACCAGCAAAGGTGTTGTTACTGGGCAGAAAACAGCGACAGGTCATTCGTTAGCTAAGTGTCGTCGGCGCTGGACACTCGGCTGGGCTGACGTGAGGCGCTTGAGGTGGGGTTGACCTTTCACCTGCTCGCCCACCACCGATGCTTGTTTGTTGTGTTTTGTGAGAAGAGGCATAGGGGCTGCTAATGGTGGACGTGGCCTAATTGGAGAGCCAATGAAAAGTTGGGAGGTGAGGACTTCCTGCTTTGGCTCAGGCGTCTCTGCTCGTTTGTGTGTCAATGAGTTAAAATGTAGTGGGGATACACACACTGCAACATTAAGGTGGGGCTGTAAGAGTTAATGCCTCTCTGGTGCAGTGTAGAATATCTCTCTCTCTCTCTCTCTCACACACACACACATACACACAGGTTTGTAATTATATCTTTGTGGGGACACTCCATTAATTTCTAAGGGGAAATCTCTACTCTCAAAATGATGACCTTAATCCCTACCGAGTCCTAAACTTAACCATAAGTAACCAAACAAAATACAAGACTTTTGGCATCTTTAGTTTTCTGATTGCATTTGCAGATCTTTGTGGGGACTTGAAAAATGGTACCCCACAACATCAAAATAACAGGTTTTTATTACATTGTGGGGAACAGTTGGTCCCTGCAAAGTAATATAAACATAATACACACACACACACACACACCTGCTGGTGAGCTCCGGGTTCAGAGCCAGGTGTGATTCGGTTATGTTTTCCTGTTACTGATCGGTGGGCCTTTAGAACAGTTCTGTAGGGTATGAAACCTGCTTTTCTAACATTTTCTTCTGTTGGTTCCTGTTACATTTTGTAAAGCCTCAGTCATGCCTCGAGAATAAAGACTCATTTGTCTGTGTCCTTTGTCTGCTCCATTAATTAAAACCTGAGCAACACAGACTAATTCTCATGGTAATTAGAGCAAGTTAGTGCTAGTACTTGGAAACAAAAACACTTTTATTTTACTATCGCCATTTTGGCAGAGCCACATCTAAGTATGCTGTACACCTGCTTCAGGTTATACTTTTCAACCATTTTCACCATCCAAAACACCTTTCAGTTGCTAATATCGGCCAGTTACAAGACTTGCTTGTCTGTAGTTGTCAGTCTAAGTAGTGGTCTGTTGAATAATGAATTTAAAGTGAGTACTGGGTGGCAGCACACACTCAGGTGTAGCTCTGAGTAGAGGAGCGGGGGAAATTGATTCAGATACATTTTGCAGTTCTTTAAGGTATAATTTTAGATTGCTGCGAGAGTTAAAATTGATTTTAAACATATCATTTTAAACATAGTATTACTGTAATTATGTTGGTCACATTTGTTACTACCAATGAATTTGCTCTGCTGCAGACACATTTCATTTAAGACTCACATGCACCAGCCTGGTGTGGTCCCATCATGAAGGTGTGCAGAGACTCCTCCAGCACGTCTCAATTTAAATTCCGAGTTTGGACAAACTTTGGATTGTGTAAAGTAAACAGACACCTAGACATGGGTACGGCTATCTGCATGATTTATCACGGTGAAATATTGTGGCAGCACTAACTTTCACATGCTTCTTTTCTGACACCCCTAATTGGATGATTGCGTGGCAACGACCCTTGACACAGTAGCATAATAAAACTCTTTAATGTGAGAAGGTACAGTCTTTACTAGGGGTGTAAAAATGCATAAAAGTCAATGTTTGGTAAATGTGGGATACATTTTCAGAAACATATCCCAGTTCGGAATAACAAAGCCGACAGGTTTGGGCTTATCGACTACTCTCTCTCCAGTGTAGGTGTAATTTCCTGGGAGCCAAAATGTTCCCACACTGCCAGTTATAGCTGACTATAACCAGCATTAGCCATAATCATAGCCATAAAATATATACATATTATAGAGAAGTACAGAATAATATGTAGTGCAATACAGAATAATATACAGAAGTACAGGAGTTCTACTGTATATTATTCTGTATTGCACTGCATATTATTCTGTACTTCTCTATATTATGTATATATTTTAGTTAGTTATTGTAACTTTGGTTATTGTAACTGTTTTGCCTCACTCAAATTCTGTTTTTGTTTTGCACAGTCCAAGCGTCCTTCAGGGTACATTTCACTACATGTTGTACTTGTATAACCATGTATGTGACGGACAAGGTATCTTGTATCTTGGAAAAAAAACAAACAAACATGAAATATGAAAAGAGAAGGTGATTTGGTTCTTCATTATGGGTGATATTAAAGTAATAATGTGCTTCAATCCGGCATAGAGCAGTGCATCATGGTTAATAGTGTAACTAAAATAGTTATGTATTTAACATGTGTAATACAGAGTCACCTCTCCATTGACTGCATTACAGTGACTAAAGTAGCTAGGATTATTTTGGCATTGATACTCGGGGGGGACAGGTTGGCAGGTTGCTCACATATCGATATGGGCCGATGGAATATGGCCGCCTTCATGTGAGCCCAAAAGCAAACGGTAGCTGCATTTACTGTATTATCACCAAGGGAGAATTTTATCTCTAAATGCCGCTTTCAAGGCCATTTGGGTCCAGCGAGAGGATGGGTGGGGGAATGGAGCAGCCGTTTCAGTAGGGCTTCTCAGAGAAGGCCAGACAGATATTTAGTCTGTCAGCCTCTGCAGCATGTGTCCTTTCCCGCTTCCATCCCTGTGGGAGATTGCTATCCCTTTAGCCAGTTAAATGCTGAGCGAGTTGCTGGGAATGTGCCTGAGTTTGCTTTTAGGGGCTCAGCATCTCCTTCCCCCTTTTCTGCTGAGTGTCATATGACGAAACACGCGGAGAGGTCACACGGCCCAGAGCGGGCAGCAACAGCACGGGGGTGTCGTTCTGGAGCTCACGAGGGCAGGCTCGTGCGTATCGGGTCACATGGGCCGGGGTTCTGGCAGAAGCAACAAGTGGTTGAATGTCTGTTCTGACCGAAAGGTTCTGTGGGCCATTTAGGCCAAGAATGTGCCCTCCCAACATCCCAACTAGAGAAGAACCCCCCCCCCCCGTTGATTCCAAGTGTGGGATGGGCGACAAGGTTGGTCATTCAGATGAGGCGAATCTGGAACTATGTAAAAGTGCCATTGTTTTCTTCCATCCCTACCCTCAACCCCCAACCCCCACCCTCCTCCTTCAGGTGATACAGATGGTCTCTTGCCAGAAAATGCATTCAAGGGGTCCAGTTCAGACTTTGGGAAAATTGGCCTGGCTCTGTACAGCGGGCTTTTCGCTTACGGCGGCTGGTAGGTGGAGCCATCGAGATCCCGTGCCATTTACAGCTATGCATATCGCCGTAAAGCCACACTAATGCCACACAGCCATCCACCTCCATCAAACAGACAACTCTTTCCGGAATGTTCTGCTGCTCGGAGCTGATGTATTTCGGGTGAGATGAAACTTCAGCTCACCTGCACAGCCGGTCCCTGTCGGGTGTGGCCCAGTGGGAACCAGTCAGACCAACTGGGAGGCTCCATTAGCTGTGGGTTTCTATGCCTGTATTCTGCCCCCCCGTTTCAGCCGAGGCTCCTCATCTCATATTTTCTCCCGCCCTTCAGCAGCCTTCTTTCATTTTCCGGGCTAATGACAGGTCGTCTTCCACAGGAAGTGCTGCTATTTCGATATAATTAGCAAAACCGCTGCCCTGTTCTGAGGCAGTTTAGCCACTGTTAGGTCAGCCAGGTTGGGTCTGCGCCTGCTTGACCGTAATGGCCTAATTCTGCAGTGTATTCACAAACCCTCCTTTGCTCTGTGTAGGAAGCACACAGGTTTTTAACAGTCACCATGCAAGGAAATGAGGAAACGTATTCAGTGAAACTTCCTTAAGTGATTCATCATGTGGGTTGCATCACTGGGCGTATCTTAAGTGTTTTTAAAACCCATGTTAGCTGTCAAAACCAGACATGTATTAACATTACACTGCACACCAGTGAGAAGCATCTCTCTCTGGAAAAACCCGATGTTTCAAGCTCAGCTTGGTTCTAACTTTGAATTGCTACTGGCCCGGATGCCTGCTAGACGTTGCGTTTAAATTTGTTTCCGTTCAGAGAGACTCAGATACTCAAAACCACACCTGGCAGGTCATCTGTCAGCCTGAAAGGGGCCCTCCTCTGCCTTGCACGACATCACCTTAAGACAGACAGCAGTCTTTCATTCTTTACATGAATTGTTTTGATAAGTTAGGCCTTAGAGTTGCCATATTTCTCTGTCTCATTACAGTATGTCATTACAGTATGGTTAGCACTAAATGTTGGGGACTGCAAAGTGACGTGGTTTTTTTCAGCAGGCTTCAGTTTAACAGTTAATTGAGTGGATTTTTGATTGGCTATATTTTTGTTTCACTCAGTGAAGCCACGGTGATTTTTTTTTTTTACAGGAATTACCTAAATTTTGTCACAGAAGAGATGATTGAACCATACAAGTGAGTATTCACCTCTGCTGTGGGACGGGAGACCTTCTGAAGGCCAACCTGTGCCCTAAGCGTGCTCATCCTCCGCTGGGGGCTTTTAAAGCCAAACACAGGTGCAGCCTGCAGCAGCACAGCCACCATCTCCAGCAATTAACTCGACTGGCCTTTAATACAGACTATTTAATTCAACCAGTAACAGGGCTGGTTTGATTTAGCTGGAGGCACAAAGACAGCGAGAGCCCATTGCGCGCCGTGACCAGGAGGGGCTGTTGCTTATGCTGCTAAGTGTTTCGGGATTTACACTGAACCTGTCAAGCGAGTAGCTGGGGAGGAAGTGTCTGCATGAGATTCGTCTAAGACTAGGAAGTTTTATTTTAACACTCAAGTGAACAGTAGTTGCTTATTAATAAATTAGTCAAAAGGGTTTCAATCAAGGGTATTTTAATTGCTAGTGATGGGCAAAAGGACGCCTCATGAACCATTTTTGATCCCACTAGATGGTGCTCTTGGTTTACTTTGGGGTATGCTTTGAGCCCTTTTTTGGACAAACAGCACCATTTAGTGGTGTCAAAAATACCACAAATGGTTCATGAAGCGTCGTTTTTGCCATCGCTATTGATTGCCCAAAGCCTCTGGCTACCTTGTTAGAATAGCGAAGGCAGAACTATGTGGGCAAAGCTGGTGTTAAAGTTCATATCTTCCCCCCTCCCTCGCACCCACAGAAACCTTCCCCGTGCCATCATCATCTCCCTGCCCATCGTCACCGTCGTCTACGTGCTCACCAACTTGGCGTACTTCACCACACTCAGTCCAGAGGACATGCTTGTGTCGGAGGCTGTTGCCGTGGTGAGTGTTTGTGTTTTTGTCTTTATGGGCACATCCTTGAAGTCCTGCTTAAATTTAAATAATGATGCATATCCCTGCAAAACATGCAAACCTCGATATTTGATGGAAATTGCAGACATTTTGGTGCTTGGAGATAAAAACTTTTTCTGTGACCATCTCTTGGCACTCAGACCCACATGTGCAGGATGCAAAGAAACATGGACCTGAGGCTTGACTTTAATGGATGCTGCCTTTAACCTCAGTGATGACAGGATTCTGACGGCATTCCTATGGTGGTTCATTCTCTCCATGCCATATAGGATTTTGGGAACTACCACCTGGGTCCGATGGCTTGGATCATCCCAGTGTTTGTGGGGCTCTCCTGCTTTGGTTCTGTCAACGGTTCCCTCTTCACTTCCTCCAGGTACTTCACACACACCACCTACATACTTGGCGTCAGAGGGACGTGGAGACGCCGGCAGATTCAGGTGGCCCGGCACTTTATAGAGGCCCCAAAATGTGCCGCCGGTGCTTCCCATGCCCAGCAAAATCTATCCAAAGTGACATTTTGTCAGGGCAACCAGAATTTCAAGATACGCCCCTGCACACACCCACATATACATATACAGTGCTCTGTCTGGTTCTGCGAGAATCCCCCCCAGTAATGGTACTCAAGAGGAGGAGTACAAGTAACTTTTGGTGTGTATGAGACTCTACGTTGATGTTGTTATGCAGTGTCTCCAGTCCTGCTAAGCTTCCTTTCTCTTTGTGTTCTAGGCTGTTTTTTGTAGGGTCCCGGGAGGGGCACCTACCCAGCCTGCTGTCTATGATCCACCCCAGTTTGCTGACCCCTCTGCCCTCGCTGATTTTCACGGTACATGTTCATTCTCGGCTTTAGGGTCCTTCAGCATGGCTGACATTGTGTTAGCCTGGCTTTTTGTCCTGAGCCTCCCCATACATACTCTTGTGGTCAAATCTTCATGCAACTGACCCCACCTCCCCAGACTGACTTGTCCCCCTGGTACATACTGACCCCACCTCCCCAGACTGACTTGTCCCCCTGGTACATACTGACCTCACCTCCTCAGGCTGATTTGTCCCCCTGGTACATACTGACCTCATCTCCTCAGGCTGTCTTGTCCTCCTGGTTCAGTAATTGTCATCCTCTTGGTCTGGTAGGAAGTAATGGCATACACCTCAGTATCGGTCTACTGTTTGATACCTGCTAGTCTAGCTGCATCTGTATGTAAATGGTCATGCTTGTTTTTCCCTCTCCACTCAGTGCATCATGACGCTGCTCTACGCCTTTTCCAACGACATCTTCTCCGTCATCAACTTCTTCAGTTTCTTTAACTGGCTCTGCATTGCCCTGGCCATCATTGGCATGATGTGGCTACGTTATAAGAAGCCCGAGCTGGAGCGGCCAATCAAGGTCAGCACCGGGCAGGAAGGGGCGGTACCAGCTATCAGCCGACCAATGACGTTGGACGGTTTGAAATTTCGCATTCGTGCAGACAGACAGCGGGGGGATGAAATTGGGGCAGTGTGCACGTGTGAGGCAGGAGTGAGCTAGGCCAGCGTGACAGGAGGACAAAGAGACCCTTTGTGTAAGTCTTCCTCCTCCGGTCACTGCCGGTCTTTATCCTCCTGTGACTGAAGAGCTTTGTCAGAGGGTAGAGGGTCCTTGTTAAAAAGGCAGGTCATAATGAAGCGACTTTAATGAAGAGCCCTGGATGGGGGTAAACTTCACTAATGCTGCTAAATTAAGGAATTTGCAACAAAGCCAATGACCCAGCGCAGGGACTGTCCTACTTCTGCTCAAGCCTTTAATTCATTCAGTGGTCTGCTGCTCTAGTGCTGCGGCCTTTTATAAACACTGCTCAGGAGGTGTGACAGAGGTGCTGTTGGCTCCTCCCCCTCGCAGGTGAACATCCTGCTGCCTGTGACCTTCGTGCTGGCCTGTCTCTTCCTCATCGTCGTCTCTGTCTGGAAGACACCGCGGGAGTGTGGAATCGGGTTCGGCATCATCGCCACCGGTGTGCCCGTCTACTATTTAGGCGTCTGGTGGCAAAACAAGCCCAAGTGGCTCCTGAACCTCATCTGTGAGTCCCCGTAACCTTTGAGGTGGGGGGGGGGGGTTTACTGGTTTCACCATGTATGTCTGTGCATTGCTCGACTGCCTCTGCGTCCTCCTGCAGTCTCATCGACGGCGTTGTGTCAGAAGATCCTGGAGGTGGTGCCCCAGGAATCATGAGCTGGCAGCTCCCTCTGCCCCCCCCCCCTCACTGCCTCCCCAAGCCTGAAAGGACCCATACATCTCACACTGTAACAGGCCCCCAGCAAGAGGAGGTGGAAATCTGTGACACACTCGTCTCTTCGTCTACCCCCGCCTCCAACTCTGCATTCCTAATATACTGACTGAAGGGGAGAAGCATGTATTTTTAAATGAGTTTTTTTTGTTTTCGTAGGAGGCAGGTGGGGAAGTAGATACTGAGGGTGGGGCCTGAAATACTGAATCAAAACTATATTAGCACTGCTGTACCTGGAATGCACTTTCCAGATGACATCACCTCATTTTCTGTGTTTGTCTTGTCTTTCAATGTCCCTCAGCATCTTAGTGGTTTTGAACGCATCGTATGTCCAGATCCTTAGCCTCCTGTCCCCTCTATCTTAAACTACTTTGGTTTTTTCGTTTTTGTTAAATACACCAGTTTCAGCACTTCCTTTCCAGCGTTCCTCACGACCCTGAGTCGACTCGCGAGTGGGACTCAGGCCTGTGCAGGCGCTGATTAAAGGTGGATGGAGCCTCTGGCTTCCATGTCTGCCTAGAGGAATCAGCATGGAGATGTTCAGCCTCCAGGGGGCAGATTTCTGCATCTCTCTTGTATAGAACGGTCCAGAACAAAATACTAGGCCACGCGAAGGGATCCTCAGCTTAGTATTGTGAAGGCGCCCCAGCGCAGGCCTTCGTGGGGCCTGCCACCTGTCCCCCACGTTGGAGAACATTCCCCAAGATCAGACCCTAAGGTCAAGCTCTGCCCAGCAGGCTCAGGCTACAAGTTGAAGGCACATTGTCTTTTGGCCTCACTCGCTATCTGTGCCTTGACTCGATATTTATGATTCAGATCTTTTTTTTAAATCCTCATTGCTAGAATATGGATTTATTTTTATAGCTAAATAATAGCTTTGTATTGCATTTTTAAGTCTGGTTTAATCCTTTTCAGTGCTCTGTAGAGTTCAGTAGAATTTCTGTATTGCCTAACAGGACACACAATCATTTATTATTATTATTATTATTATTGTTGTTGTTGTTCTTGTTGTTGTTTTTGCTCTTGTTGTTGTTGACACTTAATTTGACACATGTTTAACAAATTTCAATATTAGCTGAGATCAGAATTATGATGGTCAGTAATTCATCCAGAATTAGACAGCTACTTTAGTTTTTCTAATATTTTTATCAGTACTGTTTTTACGTGCCTCTGTTTCAAATAGAGATCAGCTGGAAATATCCAGCCTATTTTTTCATTGATGAGATTTTAGAGCATAAAATAGCAGTATGATATGATTTTAGATGAATTCATATTTTATGGCTAGTTTCGATTTGTTACTACTACATTGCTGAGAGAATTAGAGTGGAAACATTTTTTTTAATTTGCTGTTTACTCACATTGTTGGTTTTCTAACACATGCAACATTGATTTAATGAGGTTACAATGCTTAATGACTGGGCTGTTTACATCATTGGGCTCAATGAACTGGGCTCACCACTGTGACATCACAGGAGTCATGGCGCTTTTCCACTGGCATACAGGAACCAGGCTGTACTGACCTATGCTGCGTAGACCCACTAGTTCCAGCTCGCTTCGGTTTTCCACTGCAGAGAAGTCAGCTCGGTAGAGGTGTTGCCAGATTTGGAGAGTAACAGTGAAGTAAAACCAAGGAGACGCTTATTTACTGTTTACGTGGTGAACATTAGTGATAGCCAAATGGTGGCCTCTGTTCAAAAAAGCACTCAAAGCATGCCCCAAGCCAAGATCACCATCTAGTGAGGTCAAGATATACAGCAAATGATTCTTGAAGCTTCATTTGGCCATCACTAGGTTTATGGTTTACTATATGCTAGCATGCAGTACTAGCGGAATTAGCACACGGTTGCATAAATTTGCATCACAAATCCATTCTGTTTAGCCATTCCTTTGTACTTTTTTAAGTATGAGGTTATAAAAAGTTATCAGGAATTTGTCAATACATCTCGATGCGCTACTAATAATTAGTGAAGTATAGAATATGTCCTTTTCCCCTTCAGATAATCTATGAGCAGAACACCAGTATCTCCGTACATTTCGTCCAATCAGGTATGGCTCGGCTACAGCCCGGGTGTGGCTTGCATACATTGCAGTTAGACTCAGTTCTTGGCTCAGTTCTTGGTGACAGTGGAAAAGCACCGTTAGCATCATATCCGTGTGTGCGATAGGGAGTGGGTGTTATGGATTACAGGTTGGGGCATCTTGGGGTGTAACATAAGATGTAAGACTGTTGGGAGTGGCAAATGATTTTGTATCACATGAGAAGTAGCTTAATGTCCTCCTGATGAAGAATGAAAGGAAGCTTATTCTTGGGTTTGACATGCGCTGAGGTGTGTTTCTCTCACGTGACACGCCACATTTCTTTGTAACGGAAACTTCAGTGAAGCCACGGCTCGCTCTTCCTTCCTGGTGACGGATTCGATGATTACTGCAAAGCTTTAGTCTCTTGCAGGGAACGCTTTAGTGCTTTAAGATCGGAGTGCGTATCCCTTCCTGAGGAAATCTAAAGTGGTCGATTTCCGTGAGTGCGTTTGATGATTTGTGTCCTTTGAAGGTCTCTTGATTTGAAGCACGGGGCTGTGCCTGGATGGTCCCTGCTGTGGTTCTGCTCTCACATGAGTCGGCCCCGGTCTGTGATGCACGCCCACGCTGGGCCGTCCTGCTTTTTTTTTTGTGATTATGGCTCCAGCTCTTTGTGTCCTGCCCGCTCCTGCGGCAGTCACGCCCTGACATGAGGCCCCACCCCAGGTTCTGTAGCCTCCCAGCGTGGGCTCAGGCTCGATGCAAATATCTTAACTGCTAGTCATGTTTAATTGAAATTCTGGATCCAAACTGTAATGCCCCCCCCCCACCCCAAAACAAGTGCATTTTGTTTTGTGAGCCTCCCAGCCCACACTGAAAACACCAGGCTTCTGATAATTAATCATTCCGTTTTCTTGTTTGATGAAAAATGCCTAGGATGTTGCTGCTCTCCGCACCGTTTCAGGCAGGATGCTGGTCCTGTGCTCCAGGATCTGTTACGTCTTTTCCCAGCACACTCTGGCCGTAGCTGGCAGCTCTGCGCGCAGACACACGCAGGCACATGCACGCGCCTAGGGGTGTGGATGTATGCACACACACACAAACACAAGCTAACATTAGAAAACACGCACAAGCTGTCCCAGAGGCACGTGCGAGGACACACTCCTTTTGTGAATAGGCTCTTCAGGCGTATGATTTGGCTTTTTTGCTACTTAATCTCCTCTGTGCTCACTGGTCTTTGGGACAAAACCCTCAACATTTCTGTAGAAAATGCCAAAAGGTGAAGGTAGTTTACGGCACCGTTTGTCATTTGTCTTTTTCTTAAAACTGTCTTTGGCTGTCTGGTGAATACAATAAAAGGTGACACTGTGCAGAGAGCTGTGTGCGAGGTGTGTTTCTGCAGACCTGTGTGTTCCAGAGTGCTCCCCGTGTGATTTCCCTCCACGTGCTCCATGCAGCTTCTCAAAGCTGAAGTTTCTCTCAGCCAGACCGTTGGTTCCTCAAGTCAGATGACCAGGGGTCATGTGATCATTTCTGGGGAGGCCTGGGGCAGAGGCAGCCATGATCAGGACCATGTGACTGGGGACGCGGAGCTCTGACACGGAGCTCTGCTGGTTCCCTTGGCTTCAGGCTTTCATAAAGACTCTAGAGGGATGTGTCTGTACATGTGGTTCTGCCCTTTGCGGGTCACCCTCTGTGTTCCCTCCCTTCTGTCTCATCGCACGTTTGCACGAAATGCCTGAGTGCATCCCTCTCACAGGCCCCCTGGCATCTCCTGGTAACACAGAGAGATCATGGCTCTCCATCCTCTACTTTCACATTTTATAAGTTCACTGGCTGTAAAGTTTGCCGACTACTTACAATGCAATTCATTTTAAAGATTTCACATCAACTCAGGTTGCCAAAAAAGTCATATCACCTGAAGTCATATGATCTCAGTTTACTTCCTATCAGTGTTAGTATTAGGCTGTGCTATGTGTTGTTTATCTTCCAGATATGCTTTTCATTCCCTATTAAAATCCATCCTTCCATTATCCGTACCTCTTGTGCGGTATGAGGTTGAGCTGAATGAAAGTCTACTTCAGAGAGTACTGAATAGAATGATGTTAGTATGATAATGTTTAATGTACAATAGGAGAGAATTGCCTGGTGAATTCACTTCAATTACCTCTTGAATTCAATGAAACTGCCCACTTAACTCATATTTGCAAGCAAATATTTTCTTTGTTTGGGCCATAGAGTTATACATTGAAAAAGACTCATCACACTGTATGAAGTGTACACTGCAAAAGAATAATGTGACTGGGCATAACACTTGACAGGTAGTCTCAGACTCACAGCTTGGTCCTCACACTCTTTCTTGGAGCTCATAGGTGGCTGTCCAAATGCCTGTAGCACCCTGTCCTATGTGCTTATACCGGGTCCTCCTGATTCTGTTTCTCACTACTGGAAAACTTTCAAAGAGGGCTGAAATAAATCGGAGACACTCCGCCCAGATCAAAGAGGGGTTGTTTATGGGTATTTCTTCTCTATTGTTAGGGGATGAAAGGTAAGATAAACCATATAGAATGGCCGTCAGATCTGGGATTCAATCAATGAAGGTCATGTTTGTTTTAGTGTGCTTGTGTTTTGAAGGCATGGCACCACTGAGGACCCCTTGGCAGACCTCCATAATGTCAGACTTCTCTGTTTTCTTATATTTTTGCTGCTCTGTCCCAGTTCACTGGAAGTACCTATGATGAGGCACGATGTTTAGCGTTATAGTGCTTTATTTGAGTATCCCAGGAAGCTGCCGGCTCAGCTAGGGCCACAGCCTTTTAGATCTCGGCTCTCCTCCCTCGTCTCCTCTCTAAGCTGTCTGGGATTCCTTATCACCTGGGCACCATTTTGGCCTTGGTTCCTTCTCCTTGTCCTTTAAGCTCTCTCAGCCTGGCCTTAATACCCAGCTTAGATAAAGTGAGAATAAAAGCAAGTGCATTAACTATGTAAGGATGATTTCATTACAAGTCATGCATTATATGTTTTTATCTCCCAAACCTATTAAACATTTTTATTGTGTACGACCCACGTCACAGTCATTAACAGTGCATAGCTAAGAGCAAAGCTAGTCGTTGGTTCCAAATCGCCTGTTGCTAAGGCCAACGGCTGGTCTTTGTGCACAAACATGTAAGCCAAAGGTGTGGTAAGCATGGCAGGTTAATACACTCCAAGCCGTGCATTATACATTTTTAAACACTTGACTGCTAAATATCTACCTTACCTATCCACACATACATATACATATAAATGTCTCCAGTCAATGTCTAATGATTAATTTAGCTTATGTACCTCTTGATATTCCGCTGGATTATGAGTAAAATCCAGCTTCTTTTTACTGATTATTATAATTTGACTTTCCCCATTTATAATGTGCTTACAATCTCACATTGATTTCTTCCTGTGATTCAACTGGCCAACATTACAAATGTATAAATTAAAATAAAGTAAGCAAAATAATAAGCAATTAATCAACACACAGAATTCAAGAGGGAGGTGGTATTAAAAACAATAATACACAAGATAAACCTCAATCAATGCCAGACAAAATAATGAAAAATGGCATAGCAGTGCAGTACAAGTTTCATGTTGGAACCTAGTCCCCCAAATGAGGACTTAAGACAATCAAATATAGTCTTTCCCGAACACAGCATGCTTGCCCATAGCTGTTAATAGGAGGTCTAGGACCAGGCAGTCTGATTGTATGGAAAAATACTGCACAGTATCATGTACTATATGAATCTGTTACTCCACCATGTCCGGTGCTCCACTCAGGGGAGCTGTAAAGGAGGGGACATTTGGGATGGCTCCCAAGGGCCCCTGATTGACAGGAGCCATAAATAATTTGGCAAACAATTGGACTGGCCTGGATTGGGGGCCGATTATGATATGCATTTTGGACCCAAAATCTCTGTAGAACCCCTAACTGTGCCAGGTACTCCACTGAATCTCTATTACTGTGCCAGGTACTCCACTGAATCTCTATTACTGTGCCAGGTACTTCACTGAATCTCTATTACTGTGCCAGGTACTTCACTGAATCTCTATTACTGTGCCAGGTACTCCACTGTATCTATTACTATTACTGTTCCCGGAACTCCACTTTATCTGTTACTACACTGTACCTATTACTACACTGTGTCAGGTACTCCACTGTACCTGTTACTACACTGTACCTATTACTACACTGTACCAGTTACTACACTGTACCTATTACTACACTGTGTCAGGAACTCCACTGTACCTATTACTACACTGTGTCATGTACATTTATTGCAGGGTTATTATTGGTACCTGGAACTAAAATTACAAGAAAAACTTTTTCCATTCCATTCCCCGCCGCTTATTGGGGGTCAGGTCGTGGTGGCAGTAGCCTAAGCAAGGAAGGAAAAACTTTTTGTAAACTTAAAATAAAAAACTATGACTAAACAAAAACTATTGCTTCCAAAACTGACTATTTTAAATCCATTTTTTGCTATGCTCATGAATAACCATTAATAATGCATGCAGCTTGTTTTGCCAGTTTTGAGAATATTAGTAATGTGCTGTATTCATGTAGGATTCTATAAAGATCAGACACATAAAATAACTATACAACTTTCAGTTTATCCCTGGAGATAAAATTGCTATAGAAATATATCTTTAAATATAGAATATATAGAAATCCATCTATCCATTTTCTGAAACCTCTTGTCCTGTTCAGGGTCACAAAGGGTCCAGAGTCTATAATTAACAGAAATACTTCTCTAAAATAAAAGCTATCAAAGCTAAGTTGGATGTTATGGTGAGGAAGGGAATCAGGAGCGAGGATGTGACCGCACTGGGGCTTATAAAGGGAGCAGCAGCAAGGGCCAGAACATAGGAGAGCAAGGTTAATGGGCTGAAAGTCATATGTATATAAAGGCCAAAGACAAGACAGGACCTGGTAGCATAACAGAAGGTTAACACACTGAGCAGGCACCTAGCTAAAACGAGATAAGCAATGCTAGGTACAACAAAAACACTAAGCAAGCAGTCATAGGCACAGGACAGAGAGCACGATGGCACAGAACAAGGCGACAGATAAAAGAGGCCCAGTCACGAGCAAGGAGTACTGAGGAGTACTGAGGAGTACTGAGAAGTGAGTGAGGAGTGCAGGAGCCCCAGGAGCTTCAATGGGCCGTAATTAGCCAGCGGCGAGAGGTTAGCTGATAGGCCAGCAACCATGTCAAAGGGGAAAGTGGGTGGAGGCATGGCAGGGGTGATCATCCTTTCCAGGTTCCATGGCAACAGGGACGTTGGCCGGAGCTGTGTCAGAGCCCCCATATAACAGCCGATTCCAGGAGGGGCATCGGGGTGGTCCCAATGGAAGTCTGTGATGAGGGTTTGGTCCAAAATGAAGGAAGATGGTATCCAGCAAAACTTCTCTGGGCCATAACCCTCTCAGTCTATCAGGTTAGGTAATGAAGGTCCCAGCCCCTGCAGCGGCATCCAGGAAGCAGCTGATCATGTAAACGGGACCCCCATCAACAACCTGAGGAGGAGGAGGAATGTCAGGTGGGGACAATGGGCAGGTGTGTATGGGCTTCATGGGAAACAGGGAACACCGGGATGCAGAGTCCTGCACGGGTCTGGAGACCTGCACCCGCCCGCACCCGCACAGTACAGCACCACACCTGCCCGTGCAGCCGTGATTATTTCAAGTTAAATCCACACCCGCCCGGGCCCGTTAACATTCCGCCCGTTACCCGCCCGTACCTGTGATAAATTACACACAATTCTTTTTTTCTATGCATCTCTCAACGTGACAAGCGCTAGGCCTACATGAATTTTGAATTGAAACGAAAAAGTCTGTTTAACACAAAATCAAATCAGATAGGTCTAAGCTATCCATACTGTGATGAGCGTGAAAAAGAGAGAACACGACGACACGCTTCAGCAAGGATTCAGACGTGTATGTGAATGTTTGTCGAGGCGGTTATCTAATGGTGCGTTCGTTTTTCTCTCGGAACTCGGAAATTCCGAGTTGAGTGACATCACGTCCGACAATCTCCCGTTCCAGCTACCACATCTCAGAAAAAACATGGCTGCCTCCATGAACACGCTGCTGTGTGTTGTTCCTTTATATTTTAGGAGATTTGGAGTGAGATTATTTTTTCCGAGAGACAAACAAACAAGAAACACGAACTAGTCAAACCACATTAAAAGCTTTATAAAATATTTTAGCATATTCATAGCAATATACTTTTTTCGAGAGGCAAACAAACTACAAACAAACCACAGACACTAACAAGTCTGGTAAAAATCTGATATTGCATGATAGGATACTGTTTACGGTCATGATATGGTATTCTTTAAATCA